TTGCAACAAATTTTATTCCTCAAAATATGCATTCGTGTCTGATTTCACTCAGTGCAGTTCTCACTGTCGTAGGACTAAATATTTTCAATCAGATCCTCCCAGAGCAGCGTGTGGAAACCTAATCTTGTTCTGCATTTCTCTTCAGAACTTGGTGTCTTTAATATTTTTCAGTCAGGTCATCTGGACAGTTCCTTTTTTTGTGTGCTGAAACGTTTCTCCTTCGATCTGGAAGGCTTCATCAGTCAAGGAAACACACAACACAAAACTGATTCAGCCACCATTGAAGGCGAAACGTTTCAGCACAAAAAAAGAAACTGTCCAGTTGACCTGACTGAAAAATGTTGGATTGTATACCTGGATTATTGAGCATGGACTTTGTTGTTTTCAACCAGTTTAAGACTGTCAACAAGGAAGAGGGCCGGCAATGGAGGAGGAGGCGTACCAAATTGACCATCTTATCACAAGCAGAACTGGTTTGTTCCACTTTGGAGTAAGCTGTTGGGGGAACAATCAGTTTTGTTGTGTGTTTTCTTGACTGATGAAGCCTTCTGGATCGAAGGCGAAACGTTTCAGCACAAAAAAAAGAAACTGTCCAGATGACCTGACTGAAAAATGTTGGATTGCATACTTGGATTATTGAGCATGGACTTTGTTGGTGTCTTTAACTTGTTTCTTTTGCATAAAACAAAGTGGAAATCAGATAATTGAAATACATTTGTCAAATATGAGAGAGGTTTTGACTATACAGTTCAGGATTTTTCTCAATAGAACTGGTAGTTTTTGTAGAGTGACTGTATGAAGTTTACTTTCTGCTTTGTGTTTCTGTCTGCCCTCTCATTAAGACTGCTGTCTGGCAGTGACAGACACTGGTGTCTGTTGTCATGGTGACCCTAATGAGCCAATAGCAGAAGTTTTAAGGTTTCTATTTGTCTTGGTTTTCTTTGCATTTATACATTTTAAAAATAAAATGCCTGCATTTTGTCAAATTGCATAAATTGTTGGGATTTAGAGAAGAAATCTGATTGAAATTAGAATTTCATGCAAAGTGAAAAATTTGTCTATATCGTGGCATGGTGGCACAGTTGGTAGAGCTGTTATCTCTCAGTGAGAAGGTTGCCAGATTAAATCCTTTCTGGGTGGAGTTTGCATGTTCTCTCCATGTATGCGTGGGTTTTCTCTGTCTACTCCAGTTTCCTCCCACATACCAAAAACATGCATGTTAGGATGATTGGTAACACTAAATTGTCCCTAGGTGAGAGAGTGAATTGTTGTCTTGTTTGTCTCTATGTGTCCCTGTGATGGACTGGAGACCTGTCCAGGGTGTACCCTGTCTCTTGCACAGTAATAGCTGGCTATGGGCACCAAAGACCTTTGTGACCCGAGAAGGAAGAAGTGGGTAAAGATAATGGATGGATAAAGTTTATATTTGCACCCTCAAGGTTCAGTGTACTTTATTATCATTTGCATCACATGTGATACATGATGTGGAACAAAATTGTGTAAGGTCCTAATTACACACCAAAAAAGCAAAAATAAGAAAGTATAAAAATAAAGTATACAAACCCTATCACTCATGTGGAAATGCTCTTATCGTCCTTTAGTTTTATCCATTAAGTCCAATAAAATTAGTGTGCTGAGGGTGCAGCAGCAGCCCATATTGGATGATTGGATGACATGCATGTCAAACATTCTACTGAATCTGCTAAAAGAGATCATTCTGTGAAAGCCCTACAGGAAACTTCAAGGATCGATGGTGCTATCTTGTGGTGAAACATATTATCACACAGTCCTGATGCATGCTCAATAATACAGGTAGAAAAATCAAAAAAGTTAAGTCTGGTCCTCTGGACATTTAAAAAAAAAAAACAACAACAAAAAAAGTAGAAACGTTTCGTCTTTCATCCGAAAGACTTCTTCAGTAGACTGAAGAAGTCTTTCGGATGAAAGACGAAATGTTTCTACTTTTTGTTGTTGTTTTGTTTGTTTGGTTTTTTGAATGTCCAGAGGACCAGACTTAACTTTTTTGTTTATATTATCACACAACATTTTCATATGAAAAAGACCTATAAATTACTATTTATTCTTACTTATTATTAAGAGTGTGTTGAATTGCACCGCTAAAAAAATTATTGAGACAAACAATTGAGCAAAATAAATGTTTTAATGAACTGAAATATAGTTACTATGGAGCCCGGGAAGTTTCAGCCAAACCAAAACAGCAAATAGTTTCTGGAAAAAAAACAAATCTTTTGTTCTTGATTGTTATTTGCTTTGTCCTCTTTTCAACCACCAGAAGGTGGTGCAGAAACAAGAAACCTGACTGCACATTCTTAAGGTTTACAGAAATATATAATGTAAACAGAACTTTTTAGATAAGGATTTATCTTTTTATTCCAAGGTTTTCAGGCAATAAATCAATATTATGCTATTTTTATTTACTATTACTATTATTATTTGTTGTTAAAACCCTTTTTACAAAATAAAACTATGATCTGCTACTAGAATTTTGTCAAGATTTTCAAAATAATAATAAAAAAAAAGGTTTATACATTTTGTAGTGGACTAGGCCTACGTCGAAACCCAGTCTAAGGTCAAAACTCTTGACCTTTAGAACCTTGTGGGACAGAAGCTGTCATTTCATGTATTTGAATCCATAAATACAGGTTCACCCATCCTGAGACTTTCTTTCTTGAAGTTCGTTCATTAAATTGCAATCTTTGCGGAGTCAATGTATATTATTGCTACTTTAAGTACCATAATCTACATTGATCTCACAACGCTTAAGCCGAACCT